TCACCTTACCTCTAGCTGGCACAGAGAGGGTGCAGTAAAATGAGTGGAACATGACCTCACCACCCCCACTTCCCCACCCTGGACCCAGTGTTGGAAAAGTAGCTAATAAGATTGTGGTAACTCAAGGATTTAGGGTAGAATAAAAACAAAAATTCTCAGGGCACCTGGATGACTTAGTTGGTTGAACGTCCGCTTTGGCTCAGGTCATGATCTCTTGGTTCGTGAGTTTGAGCCCCACGTTGGGCTCTGCGCTGCCAGTGCAGAGCCTGCTTGGGATTCTTTCTCTTTCCCTCTCTCTCTGCCCCTCCCTGCTTGCACTTGCTAGCTTTGTCTGTCTCAGAATAAATAAGCTTAAAATAAATTCTCTCTCTTTTTTTAAGGTTTATTTATTTTGAGAGAGAGAGAGCAGGGAAGGGGCAGAGAGACAGAGAATCCCAGTCAGGTTCTGCACTGTCCATGTGAACCCAGACATGGGGCTTGAACCGAACTCACTGTGAGAAGTAAGTGAGATGATTCGTTTTCAGAAATACCAAATAAAAGCTATGCTGTCTAATTAACATTGGTTTGTAACCTACTGGAAATATGTATGGAACTACCCCCACCCCATCCCCACCGTGGAGTCCCAAACCCTTAGACACTTTCCTTCCTGGTTCTTCTCCCCTCTCCATTTTATGGGTTTATTTTTCACAGGCTTTGCAATGAGCATGGGCCAAAGAACTGAAAGTCTCTGCATCACCTCAGGGAAGGTACATTTGTTCCAATCCGACTACTATTTGGCCTTAATGTGGGCATAGGTAACTTCCGGGTAAGGCTGTAACCTCTGTAGTATCAGCCAATGAGCCAGAGGAGGAACTTGTGTGCTAGGAGCCCATGAGGAACCAGGGGAGGGATTTGCGTGTTAGGAGCCAATGAGGAAGCAGAGGAGGGACTTGTATGCTGGGAGATAAATTGTCTGCTGTAACTGCTCCGAGTCAGACACCCGCTCTTGCAAGATCATTGACTAAAACCTCGCTTTCCTGTGCTCTGAGTCTCCGTGTCTCTCCTTTGACTGGGTCAGTGGGCTTATTTCTCACACTCACAAACCGTGAGATCATGACTAGAGTTGAAATCAAGAGTTGGATGCTTAACCCACTGAGACACCCGGGCATCCCCAAAATTTTCTGTTTTTTATAACTTGGAATTTATGTATTTTTTAAACCAAAAGTTTATTAATATATATTTTTTACATTTAAATTCAAGTGAATTAATATACAGAGTAGCCTTGGGTTCAGGAGTAGAACCCAAGTTTATTCATATTTTTAAATGCATTATTTTTTCATTTATAGCAGGCCATTGGAAATGTTTGCTGAGTGAATAAATGAACATTTGAGAAGGATACCATTGACCCCATAATAGAAAAGACCTATACTTCTACATTTTTGCCCTAGCATTGAGATTTAGCTTTATGTTTGACCAAGACTGGGCCTAGATCCAGTGGGTGTGTGCCAGTGACACCCTCACTAAAAACGCCAGCACAACATCGAGGGTGTAGGGTGACTTTAGGGGACTCGAGGCACATTTGTCTTTATGGGACCCTTTCTCCAAAGAAAAATTAGAAATCCTATTTTACAGCATCATGTTTTTTTTCTGATTTTAAAGGAAATGAACATGAAAACATTTTTGTGAGTTGTGAGAGTGTCGTGAGTCCTCGGCACTGCTCCTCTATGCCCTGACGGGCTTGGGCCATGTGACGGGGGTCTGAGCCCTGCTCCCATCACTTCCTGGCTGTGAGATTTGGGGACAATCACATGGTATCATCATCTATAAACTGAGATGGATGAAGGTTTCACAAGAAGGGGGAAAGTCTTCCCTTGTTAGCAGGAGATTTGGTTGGGGGTACTCAGGTGTCTTAGGATGGAATGTGCTGGAAAGGTACTGCCTTGTCTTGCAAGGGTGCTGGGTGAGTGGAAGCTGAAGGCAGACTCTGTGCCCCCCACCGAGAAATTTTGGGGCCACAGGTCAAGGGCAGAAATGTCAAAGGGAGAATCCTGTGAAGAGGCATCTCTTCTCCTTTGGATGTCTTCAGTGATCTTTCCATTTTTTCTGTAAAGTTTTCTGGGAGTTCAATCTATTTGGGCAAAGCTGAAGGTGCTGCGTCCTGCTTGGAGGTGGGGTTGGGTCTGCAGCAGAAGCAGCTGCCCCAACTTACGGTGCCTGAAACTCCGCACAGACACCCTGCTGCCTCTTCACATGGGCAGCCCTGGGCAGGGCTCCAAGCGCCGTGCAGGCCTCATTTGCATCCGTCTATCCCAGGATTGATGCACTGACGATGATTATCAGGACAGTGGTTCTCAACTGGGCGTGGCTTTATTCCTCCTCCTCCTCCTCCTCCTCCGCACATTTGGCAATGTCTGGAGACAATTTTTGCTGTTGTAACTGCAGGGAAGGGTGCCACTGGTGTCCAGTGCGTGGAGGCGGGACTGCTGCCAGACGTCCTTCCGTGCACAGGAGGGCCCCGAAACAGGGATCACCTGGCTCAGGGCGTCCATAGTGCCTGGCTTGAAAAACCCTGATATACAGCCCTTCCGCTAAGGGGTGCCCGGGAATAAAAGCTCCCAAGCAATCTTTATAGCACACTGTGAGGTCAGCCAATTGTATCAGGATTATTACTTTTTAAAAAATTTATGAACTTCTTCCTCTCCACTGCCTGGCCTGAACTAACATCTAACTAAGTTCACCATATAACCTGCTAAATAAGTTCCGTTTATTCTCAGGACTAAGAAGCAAATGTGACTTTCCGTTCGCAGTAACCAAGCAAGTTAGGCAGCCGAGATTTCTGTCCAGAGGTAAAGCACCAATGCCCTCTGCTGGAAAAGTTTATAACTGCTGCTTTGTGCGCAGGACAAGAATGAGTTGACGCCTATTATTCTTTTTTTTTAAATTTTTAAAAATTTTTGAGAGCGAGAGACAGAGTGTGAGAGGGGGAGGGGCAGAGAGAGGGAGACACAGAATCCGAAGCAGGCTCCAGGCTCTGAGCTGTCAGCACAGAGCCCAACGTGGGGCTCGAGCCCACAAGCTGTGAGATCATGACCTGAGCCAAAGTCGGACATTCAACCGACTGAGCCACCCAGGCGCCCCTGATGCCCCTCATTCTAACTGAGCAAGCGTCTGGGGCCACTGACCTTGTTTTGAACTTGTGATTGCCTAAAAGGGTGGGGTTTACATTGGTTTATAGGATCCATTCGTTTCTTATATCATACCCAAAAGTTTAGACATTATTTGATAATGATCAAATATTCCTCATCCTTCTGTATAAGCACAGAATTAACTCATGAAACAGTGTCAGAGTTTAATGATAGAAATAACAGAAGCAGATCCCAGGGTGCTTCTTAAAATTTTTTAAAAATTATAGAAAATTTGGAAAAAAAATACAAAATAGAGAAAAGTAAGAAGAAGAGGAAAAATTTTGACAGTCCCACTTCCAGAAAAAAAATTTTTACATTTTGGAATATTTTCTTCCAGTTCCAGTTTCTAGGAATATAATGACCTTTTATTTATTTTATTTATTTAAAAAAAATTTAATACTTACTTTTGAGAGAAAGAGATAGAGTGTGAATGGGGGAGGGGCAGTGAGAGAGGGACACACAGAATCCGAAGCAGGCTCCAGGCTGTGAGCTGTCAGCACAGAGCCCAACATGGGGCTTGAACCCATGAACCGTGAGATCATGACCTCAGCCGAAGTCGGAGGTTCAACCAACTGAGCCACCCAGGTGCCCCATAATGACCTTTTAAAAAGTTATTTTTATTTTTTTTAAGTTCGTTTATTTATTTTGAGAGAGACAGAGAAAGAGGGAGAGAGCGAGAATCCCGAGCAGGTTCCACGCTGTTAGTGCACAGCCTGATGCGGGACTTGATCCCATGAACTGTGAGATTGTGACCTGAGCTAAGATCAAGAGTCAGATGCTCAACCGACTGAGCCACCCAGGTGCCCCCAGAATTGTTTTTATTGTTTGCTTTGCCTAATTGTTACATGCTATAGATACAAATGTGTGTCCTTTCCCCCCCTCTGACTACATCATAACCGTTTCCATGTTATAATGAGCATATATTGTTCCTGTGGGGGACATGCAGACATGTCACCTAGATTCCGTTTCTGGGGAAGGATGTGCTGTCCCAACTTCTGCCTTTGGCCGCCACCCTGCAGAGGGTACCTTGGCTATGAGCAGTCGCCTGGGCCGGGTTCATGCCCTTCCCACCACAGCCTGCACCCAGGGACCAGCAGAGACAGGTGTGATGGTTCCTGCCATCCTGGCCCAGGGGGAAGAACGCTGGTGGCTGTGTTGGCTGCGGAGCTTCCCAGGAGGTCGGCTGCCCCTGGACTTCTGCCTCTGCCTGCTCCTGCTTGTCTCCCACAGCTGTTCATCTCAAGGCCCTTCCTGAATACCTCATGCACACGACATTCCCCTCACAGTCTGCCTCCCACAGAGCATATCCTGGGTGCCTGTGACTATTCTAATTTTTTGAATGTGGTACTGTGTACACGTGTTTAAAAACAGCAACACATGTGAACAGTACAAAAGGGTACGCAGTGCAAAAGTGAGTCTCTCTCTCACCCTGACCCCAGTCCCCCTCCCCGCGGGTGTTCTCCCCAGAGGCAAACACCATTATCCGTTTTGAGTGTACCTTTCCAGGGCTGGGCTGTACATATACAAACACAGATACCGTGAGGGTTAATTTTATGTGTCCACCCGACTGGACCACAGGATGCCCAAGTAGCTGGTTAAACATTAATTCTAGGGGCGCCTGGGTGGCGCAGTCGGTTAAGCGTCCGACTTCAGCCAGGTCACGATCTCGCGGTCCGTGAGTTCAAGCCCTGCGTCGGGCTCTGAGCTGATGGTTCAGAGCCTGGAGCCTGTTTCCGATTCTGTGTCTCCCTCTCTCTCTGCCCCTCCCCCGTTCATGCTCTGTCTCTCTCTGTCCCAAAAATAAATAAACGTTGAAAAAAAAAAAACATTAATTTTGGAGGGCGGCTGTGAGGGTTCCAGGAAGACCTCAGCATTTGAATTGGTAGACTGAGTAAAGTGGACTGCCCTCCCCAGATGGGCGGAACTCATCCAATCAGTTGAGGGCGTGAGCAGAACAAAAAGCAGGAGGCAGGGAAGGTTCTCTCACGTCCTGCGTGACTGCAGGAACCCGGACAGTCCGTCTTCTCCTGCCCTGAGAAGCTCCTGCTTCAGGCCTTCGGACGTGGCTCTCCGCCCGTGAACTTCATCACCAGCTCTAGGCCTGCCGGCTCTTCAGTTTGCCCACTGCAGACGGTGGGACCCCCTCAGATGCCACAAGGGCATGAGCCAGTTCCTCACGATTCATCTCTTTCTAAAGATCTCTGTCTGTCCAACTGTCCTACTTGTTCTGATTCTCAGAGAACCCTAATGCAGCTGCGTTATCACTGTAAAAAAAAAAAGAGAACTTTTTATTTTGAAAATAATTCCAGATTTACCTGAGAGTTTCAAAGATAGCGCGGGGCTCCTTCCAGCAGCTTCCTCTCATGTTCACATCTTACACCACCACATCCACCACAGCTGGGAAATTAACAGGGGTGTATACTGTTGGCCCAACTACAGATCAAAGCCCGATGACGCCAGTTTTCTACTCCTGTCCTTGTCCTGGACGACGCGGGTTCCACTTTGCGCCCACCAGACTTGGTAGCTTTTGTTCTCCCTTCCAGCAGAGGTCCTGGAATGACCACACTTGTGGTGGACTCCAGCCAGTTCTGCTCCTTATATTCTGTTCCAGCATAAATAACACCCTGGCTCACCGTTGTTCATAAAGCTTTTTCTGAATTTCTCATTCTTTCCTGAGGGTACAGGGGGTGGCCATTTTCTAAAGTTTCATGTCACACTAAATTTCTCTTACCCCAAGAGCACATCAATGCACCCTTTGCACTGCCCTTTGGTCAGCAGGGATGACCTAAACAGATTCACGCTGCTCCGATGCCCTCTGGCCTCTCAGGACAGCATTCCACATGTCAGTGATGTCCGATGTCAGACATATGAGTTTCAATGAATCTCTTGGACATATCCCTCCAGAGGCTTCTGTTCTCCTTCGGTTGGGGCTGGTTCCTCTCCAGGCCTCCTGCCCGGCCGTCACATTGGGACTCCCCTTTGCTGTCATTCTTAGATCGCCCTTGGCCCCTCTCCTAGGTTGGTATCTTAACCTGGACTTCTTGTAGAAAGCAGTGCCCAAGCCCCAGCTTGGCAAGCAGGTGATTTACTTTGGAAAGTGATCCTGGGAGGAGGGGTGGAGGCATGAAACAGAGGAGGGAAGGTATGAAGTATGTTGTTGTGAGATCAAAGAAAGCACGTATGTTAGTCTCTGCCCTTGTTCCTGGCGCATAGCTCCCGAGACCCTTGTAATTTCCCGATAACAGCACTAGGAGCGTCTTTTGTTCTAATATTTGGTGTTAGAGCCTGGTTCCTGACACAGAGCTCCTAAATCCCCTGGAATTTCCTGGATGATAGCAGTGTATTTTGTTTGAATGAGGCCACTCTGGGGTTCACTTCAAAATAGTCTACGGATGGGGGTAGTGAGTATGGGACAGAGCATACAAGATTGGCCATGGATATGTTATCCATTGATAAGTGTTATAAAGATATTTTTAATGTTTATTTTTGAGAGAGAGAGAGAGAAGGAGACACAGAATCTGAAGCAGGCTCCAGGCTCTGAGTTCTCAGCACACAGTCCCATGCAGGGCTCAAACCCACAAACTGTGATATCATGATCTGAGCCAAAGTCGGACGTTTAACCGACTGAGCCACCTGGGCGCCCCGGTAATTGTTAGAAATCTGGGTAATAATTGATAAAGCTGAGTACGTGGTAGTGTGTGACACTTTTCTCTCAACTTTTCCATGTGTTTGAGATTGTTCATAACTAAAAACCTTTTTAAAAAGTGTGCCCTTCCTGGTTAGATTCACATATCTGGTGGTAGGGAAGGTGAAGGAGGGCATGTGGACCTTGACATTGTTGACATGAGTGGTGGGAACTTCAGACGTCTCCAAGTGCTTCCCTATGCCATCATCATGTTAAGACGGTGCATGTGAGGGGAGAAATAAACAGTCCATCAAGGAAACTGGATGCCTGCTTTCAACACTTGCTAGTTCTAGACTTTTCCAAGGCAGACCTGTCATTCATGGTGAGACTGTGTCGCCCCTAAGGACTAAGTCCTGGTGATTATTTCACCCACAAGGTCTCCATGATTTATTTTAAAAAGAAACAGAATCAAACCTGAAATATGTCTTTAAGGAAATGGAGGAGCATGATGCTGGAGGGTGAGCCATTCATTAAAGCCTGGACATTTGTCTAAGTTCTCTGCACGTGCCCCGGGGCGGCTGTCAATGCAGGAAGGGTATCTCAGTGGGCCTACCTGAGCTCTTTCCTGCTGCAAAGATGGATGGTTTCTAAGTGGAACCTCTTCTCCTCACAGTAACCAGGCATGATATTGAGTAAAATAGCGGTCAGAAAGAACATCACCAGGTCCCTAATGAGAAGCAGTTGACAAAAGAATTATTCTAATGTTCATCAAAAAGCCAATAAATGTCAAGGAAGGGACTGGAGAGGAGCAGCTCATAAATTCTTTCTCGAGGGACCTCTGGAGGGGACTTTGGGGACAACACCCCTGCTCTGCCTTTTTCCTGAACATTGCTAAAGAAACTTCCAGAGAGCGTGGAACATTTATGGGGGCTTACCCTCATCGTTTCCAGGGGACGTCAATAGGGAGGCCATCCCACTCTTAGAGGATCCTGCTTTTGGTACCAGTACTGGGTAGGTCTGTTCCTCGTCCGTCATGTAGACACCGTGTGTGTGATGTCACAACTTGTGAGGTAACTGAGAACTGAGATCGCTTCCAGCTTGAAAAGTCAAAGCTCTATGCGGATGATCCTATCAAAATGGATTTCTCCTCTTGATTCCTATAATCGGCGTTGCCAGTGGGGCTCATTCAGCAGCCTCCTCCATTGCCTCATTGTAACATGTGTTCTGTTGCTAAATCTTGGTCTCACTGTTTTGTTAGGGGAAGGGGACACTCACTGAGAGGCCAGTGTCAACCTGCCTCTTGACTTAGTTCAGTATTCTCCCAAAGGCAGACCCCGAATCAAGGACTTATGTGAAGGTTGTTTATTTGGAAAGTGATGGCAGGATCCCAAGTGAGGGTGTGGGACAAGGGAAGGCAGGGAAGGAGAGAGCTGGTAAAGTCTTCGTGAACCGACAGGTCGGTGCTACGGATGATGGGGTTCAGCCCTGCCGGGCCCTTCTGAGAAAACACAGACCCATATCTCAGCGTTGTTTCCTCAGTCAACTGGGGGGTGGGGGTGGCATTTATCCATAGGCTCCTGTCTCCTGCTGCTCCAGGGGTGTCCCTGGTTGGCCTGCTGAAGGCCGAGCCAGCTGGTGGAATGCCAAAAATCACTCCCAGAGAGGCAGAGAGAAGCGCCTGAGGGTGTGTCTTAGCTCAGGCCGCTATAACAAAAGACCACAGACTGGGGGGCCTAAGGGAAGAGATTTATTTCCTTACAGTTCTGGGGGCTGACAGTCCACAATCAGGTGTCGGCAGGTTTGGTTCCTCTGGAGGTCTCTATCTGCTGCTGGCGGGCGACTGCCTTCTTGCTGTATCTACGTATGGCTTTTCCTCTGTGCGTGCACATCCCTGGTATGTCTCTCTCGTCTCCTAAGGACACGGGTCTTATGGGAGTAGGGTTCCATCCCAGCGACCTCCTTTAACCTTACTCTTCAGAAGCCCTTCCTCCAAATGCAGTCGTGTTGGGGAGCAGGCCTTCAATAGAGGAAGTTGGTGGGAACAGAATTCAGTCCATGACAGGGGGAAGCGCTTACCTGTGGAAACTGCCCACTGCACCTGCAGGCGTAATGGGGGTGGGACAGGGGGATGTGGAGTTATGGGGCAAGTGGTCAACAGTATTGCTACGCATACATTAATTGAACCCTCCTAACCAGTTAGGAGCTGGGTGTTACTGTCACCCCTCATAACCACCAAGACCTTCAGACTCAAAGAGGTTGAACAGCTAGTGATAGGGGTGAGCTCAGAGATAACTCAGCTCTCTGATTCTTGTCCCGTGATAACTGTTTCGTATTTGAATGCTAACGTGTTCATGATTTAGACTAAGTTCATGGAGGGTCGCAATTGTCTTATGCTTAGAACAAAACAAACCCATCCCATAGTGCCTAACATAGGGCTTTGCAATTAAGTAGACACTTCATAAATACAAGCATTGATGTTTTAAAAATCACCTCTTGCCTGTTTCTTTTGGAAATAGATCCAGAAAAAAAAGAAAATCAATGCAACTAAAAGGAAGTTAAATCTGTTTTCATGGGAACGTGGTAACCTTGGGGAGACTGGTCACACCCACACTGAGGAGGGGTGTGATGGTCCTTGTGTGGGGAGGGGGAGGGGCACAACCATTGAGCCTGGCAACTGTCCACCCCCATTGGAATGGGGAGGGGTTGCTGATACAGGAACTGAGGGGCCTTGGGGAAACGTCATTGGTAAAAACTGGACAGACTGGCTATCTGAAAGGATAATTATCAAATGATTAGAGTAAAAACTTCGACGACAGTAACAAATGAGACAATTTTGGCTTAAGGTTCAAATCCGCATATTAACCAATCTGATAGATTCTATCAAGTGCCGATCTATTAGATATCTTCACCCCTTGCCAACCAACCACATATGGTATATGCCTCTCTGGAATGTTTTATCACCAGAAGTGTTAGCATTTGGAGACTAAAACATGCTTCAGCAATGCCTTTAAAGAAAGAAAACAGGCTTTACAGAACCCCTGGGACTGATTGCATCGAAGCAGAGCAACACGATGCCCGAGTACCGACCTACATTTACAAAGAGATGCTTACCGGCTTTGCCGGATCTACAAAGAAAACAGTGATTTAGTTCGTGTTCTGCTCAGTTATTTCACTTCCCAAAACTGATGGAGAAAATGTGAACCGAGGATTTTTTAAAAGCCCGTCTGTATCATGTAGCCTGTGCGGGGGAACTGTACCCCTGGTAACATTTAACTAGACCTAGCAGATCTTCCTGAAGGCCTGCTCTGTGCTAAGCAGTGCCTAGCCTCTGATGATCCAAATGCCCAGCAGAGACTAACTGTGCTCCTGCAGGAATGCACACCTTTGCGGGCGCGGGGCCCCCGCCCCCCCGAGGGTAGGACACTCAACTAGGAATTAACAACAAATAATGTAGGGGTGCCTGGGTGGCTCAATCGGTTAAGTGTCCAGCTTCAGCTCAGGTCACGATCTCACAGTTCATGGGTTTGAGCCTCACATGGGGCTCTGTGCTGACAGCTCAGAGCCTGGAGCCTGCTTTGGATTCTGTGTCTCCCTCTCTCTCTGCCCCTCCCCCACTCATGCACTCGAGTTCTCAAAAATAAACATTAAAAAAAAAAAAGAAATAATTTAACGTGGTTCCCACCCAACAGAAGTTATCTGCTGAGTGATGCAGTGTAGTGGGCATCTAACAGTAAAAGAGGGGGCAGGAGAGTCGCATGGTGTGGCAGTCACAAGCCCGTGGCCCCACAACTGGACCCGCTGCATTTCACAACCCAGGTGCCCTGGGTTGTGACACCTGATGATGTGACACACGATGCAGAGAGGTCTTTGAAATTCTCAGACCACATTTCCTTAATCAGTTTTACGAAGTGAAAGTTTTGACCAGAACCTGCCCCTTCCTAGCTGGGTGATAGTGGGCAAGTCACTTAATAACTTCGTATTTTGGTTTCTTGTCTGTCTAATGGCATTCATAAGGCCTACTTCCTAGAGATTTTTGTGAGAATTCATGTGCTAACATCTGCAAAATGCTTAAGACGGTGCCTGGTGCAGAGCAATCACTACATAAATTTAAGTGTTGATGGGCTCTAGATCGCATTCCCCTCAGGCTGATACATTTTTTTTTTCTTTTTCTGAATTTCTAGAAGTTTCTAAAACTGGCAATTATCGTGTTTTGGTTAGGTGAATATTGGAAACAAACAACATAAAAAAGAAAGAGGTCTTAAATATGAAAAAAAAAAATGTGCAAATTGGTTTTAGAGTCTGTGCTTAAACATTCCTGGTTGTGACAGGGAGACCCGAAGGGACTGTAAATCACTAAGGATGTCAGAAGACTGCCACACGGGGAGTATAAACCTCATAACGCTGGATTTGCCAACCCACACCTTCCTTCCCTCGCTCCCCCTTTCCGTGTGGAAGGGCCACCTCCCCTACACCAGGGAACCAGAGGGGGCTGGGCCAGCTCATCCAGGAGACCCTGTAGGCACAGAATAGGTAGCCTGCCAGCTTTCCATGGGCCTCTCTTTGGGACCTGAAAAATAAATTTGGGGCTCCAAAATATAAAAGAGAAACCCTTGCAAGATCGAAATTTAATATTTTATTAGCTGTAACATGTCAACTTCAAGAATGTTTAACTTGCAGATACTTGATGACTACCAAGAAATAATCATCGTTAGTCAAATATTTAAAAATAATTTATAAAGCAAATCGTTCAGCTCCTTTCCCTAAACAGAAGCATTATATTTAGTGTGGAATATGGATATATTTCAGATTTTTTTTTTGATGTTTTATTTTTGAGAACAAGCACGTGAGCAGGGGAGGGGTGGAGAGAGAGGGACACAGAGGATCCGAAGCAGGCTCTGAGCTGACAGCAGAGAGCCCAATGCGGGGCTCGAATTCATGAACCGTGAGATCACGACCTGAGCCGTAGTTCAGATGCGTAACTGAGCCACCCAGGCGCCCCTATTTCTGATGTTTAATGTGATGTGGGGTGGGGCTCCCAAAGTCATGAGCACCGAGGGCCTACAAAGGCCCAAAAACCTGCCTGCCTGGCTGGTTTCCAGAGGCTCCTGGAAGAGGCTGTTGACATCCCTCTCGGAGCCAGCGGTGACTGCCCGGAACTTCACCACAGCACCTGCACTGCTTTGACCGTTAAAATACAGATACAGCTGGAGACAGATGGGTCACCTCCACCTGCATGCAGTCAGCTCATACATTTTACTGTGCAGCAGAATCACTTGGAAACCCCCCTTTTTTTTTTCCTTTTAATACATATTTTTGGGCCCTGGGAGTCTGCATTTGTGATTCAGTAGCTCTGATGAGGAGCCCGGGAATCTGCATTTGAAGACCCAGGTCGTCCACAGGCCACACTTTGGAAACGCGACTCTTAGTGCCATGGGTTTTGAGAAGGAGAAGAAAGCGGAGGGCGGGGCTGGCTGAATAAGGCATCCAGACAAAATTCAGGGTAAGAGCCAATTTTGAGGAGATGTGCCTCAGGGCGGGTCTTCCTAGTTGATCACATCTTCAGAAGGTTTGGGTGTGGCCCCCACAGCTCTGAATATCTGTAATGGAGTTGTTGGTCTCAGATGTGCTCAGGTGTTTCCAGTGTTTACTACTCCTCCAGGTAAAATGCCCATCTTCTCCATTCGTAAAAGAGCATTTTCTTTGAGCAAAAGCGGCCTGTTTCAAATTTCGTAGCAAGTTCCCAAATCCCGGCATTGTAGAATCCAGAATGTCACAAGGAAGAGGACAAGAGTGTCCAGTGGTGTCATTGTTACCGACACGCCCTCTTGAGCGGCGAAAGCAGTTTTGTCACCTGCACCTGCCACACGGCTAGTTCCGTGGCAGACCTGGGGCCAGGATGCTGTTTGCGTTCAGATCCCTGCTTTTCCCGTATCTCCTCCTGGAAGCGAAACTGCGTTGCCTTGGCGGTGGCATTTCCGACTGGTAGTCAGTGTGTGCGGGCTGGAACAGGAACCTTTCCAGGATGTCGGGAGGAACACAGTGCGGTGGTCAGGAGCACAGCCTTCAGAAGCCCACAGACCCAAACCCACACACGGGCCTGACTTTGGCAAATGCCAGAACTTCCCAGAGCCTCCTGCACGCCAGGGGGCTGGTAAGAACTGCCTCACTGGGCTGCTCGCAGGAACTGAGGAATTGAGGCTCATGAAATCAGCACTGGTTCCCGAACGGCAGCTACCCCGAGTTCACTGGAGTAGAGCAAACGGTGTCCCTCATGTGCTTGTATTCTCTGGGGCTCAAGCCGGCCTCTGGAGGGCTCGCTCACCTCGAGCTGGAGTGGAGACGGGTTCCCGTGCCTGAACTGTAGGGACGCGGTTGGCTGGGCTGAGCCCACCCAGCAGGGCTCCCTGAGAAGTGGGAAAGACGACACACACTAGGCTTTCCAAAAGCGAACATCACGTGTGGCTATCAGAACAATCTCATTCAGCGTCCCAGTGGAGGGAAGCAGAGATGCAAACTAACCCCAGATTTAGATTTTCCTGGGGATGAATTCTATGACTCCAGAGGGTGGGGGCGGATCTTCCTTCTGGGTTATTTTCTCCACAGGCGAGTGTTAAGATTTATAGCTGGTCCCTGAGTGCACTGGGAAGCCAGCCGAGAGCCCTGGGGATCTCACAGTTTTGGAGGATGGTGCATGTTCATACAGACCCTGGAAACTTAACTTTGGATTTGCATTGGCCAGACGGGTGCGTGAGGGGAGGCCTTGTCACTTTCTCTGAGGCCCGGAACCTTTCTCACACCCTGTCCCCTACACTGTGTGATCCAGTAACTGTGAAATAATGACTTCCACGGCAGGCCACCTGGGCAGGAAGGTAGCGGAGGGGCCCGGTCGACAGCACTGTTTTTGAGCAGACGGTGACAGTCTGGTCCTTCACAATCTAGTCCAGAACTTCAGCCAGCTCCGTATTAGCTTCGGAGGGAAAACTCCATCAGGGGTCTGCCCAAATTCGCATCTGATGTCTGTTGTGCACGGGCAAGTTGCATAGCAGGGAGTGTGTGGCCCGTTCCCTTGTTTCAGAAAGCTGCCGTGGGGCAGGGAAGTCCTCTCTCTGGCCGGCCTCACACCAGCCCGGGCGCTCCACAGGAGGTGGCGCGGCCAGAGGGAAAGGGCCTCCGGTGTTTCTTCAGGCAGGCAGAGTCTGGAACCCTCACCCTACCCCGTGCCCACTGTCTGACCTGGCACGAAGCGGGCCTTGACAACACATCTGTGGGATGGGAATAACTGTAGCACCTGCTCTACTGGGTTCCGAATGAGGACGGAACACGAATGTGCGGATGGCACTTAGCACATCCCAGGTGGCCAGGACGCGGGGACCTCTGCTCATGAGGACCATCTTACTAACAAGTTCCTCCTTTCCAAGAAAACGCTTTTTTTTTTTTTTTTAACCTTTCTAAACTCAGGCAAAGCAAAAACAAAAATGTCAATCTCAGTAGGAATCTGTGAAAGTGTGAGGGGGCATCCTTCCCAACACACTCGAGCCTGAATGAGAGCCTCGGGTTTGAGCCACATGGTTCTCTATTTCTGTCACAGCACCGACCGCATTTATGGCCACCTTCCACTCCTAGGGAAGATAAGCTGGCTTTTTAAAAAAGATAAGATCCTTGGTAAAAGCTTGAGGACAAGAGACTTAGAGCGTTTCTTAGGCGGTGTTGGACCAGAAGCCAGAAACGAAATACGTTTGAGTCCTAATTCGAATGCTCAGCTAGGGGGCTCAAACGCCTGGGGCTGGTTTTATTGCCTACCAGAGGTTGGGCAGGGTTTGGAAACGTGTCCAGAGTGGGTGTTGTCTGGTGGGCAGGCCATGTGCTCTGTGTCCCTCCCGCGTCTCCCCGGGGGTTTTATCCCCAGCTCTAGCCCAGGACCCTGGTTTCAGGGTGTTGGATAGCCAGGACGTGCGTTACAGGAACACCAGGCCTCTGATGTACGCCCACGAGTGTGGGCACCCAAAGAAAGAGGTCAGGGATTTTTTTTTTTTTTTCTTTCTTTTCTCAGATGGCTTACAGTCTGGCTGGGAAGATAAAATTACCAGTCTCTCTAAACATGTAATCTTTCTAAATCATAGAAGATTAGTTCAAAGCCATAGGCGTGATTATTTCTCAGTGGAATCAAGAAGGTTTTCAGTGTGGAGAATCTTGGGGAGATTTGAAATGTCTCGCTGCTCTCGGGCGGACGGAAGGGCCTCCGCCTCAGGGGACGCTTCTGGAAGCGGAATTAGGTTGGCATCCTTCTTTCACGCCTCGCGTGTCCTCGCTTTCTCTTGCATCCGGTGACCCCTCACCTGTGGTCCCCATGAAGGAGTACGTCAAGTATGAGCTTTCCGCCAGAGCTGGCCGGCACAGGTCCCAACCTCCGCTCCATTCGATTCCCCACCGCATCCCTTCCCCCGCGGAATCACGGCTTTTCACACAGACCACAAGCGACCAAACCATTATAAGATACAGCAGGCTGTCTCTTCTACGGTCACCAGGCAGCAGCGGTGTCTGGGCCTCAGAAGGTGGGGGGTGGGGGTGGGTGGGTGAGGGGTGCAGGACTCCTCCTCCGTTTCACTTACTGTGACCAGATGGGTTTTCTCTTCTGGATGAAGGCCTTGATTCCCTCCTGCCCATCCCTCAGGGCCACGTTGTCCACCATGGTCTGGGAGGTGAGGTAGTAGGCTGTTCTAAGGTCCTGGGGCAGCTGCTTGTAGAAGGTGGCCTTGCCCAAAGACACCACAGGACGGCTCAAGGAGGCAATCTTCTTTGCGATTCTCATGGTCTCTTCCTCCAGCTGCTCTTCCGGCACTACTCTGCTGAGCAGCCCGTGCAGCAAGGCCTCCTGAGCGGAAATGGGCTCCCCAGTAAAAAGCATTTCTAAGGCAACCTGAGGGAGGAGACGTGTGCGTTATTAAGGCACGCCGCTTGTGACCCTCTCCGTCCCACCCCGCTTCCCTACAACCTCAGCCCCGTTTTCTGCTTCCTCAAATCACACGTCGTCCATAGACCTGATGTCTGCCAGGTCACCCAGCGTCTTTCCGGGAGCAAGGAGAATACAGGTGCCTGGGAAAGGGGGGGGACTCTCCGTGTTCTCTTGCTCCTTCCCTAGATTGGATCTCCCGGCCCCTGCTGAGCCAGGAGCTTCCCTCTGCCTCATTCAAGGGCCAGGCATGGGGCAGCGGCCACATCTGACGCGAGAAAGGTGACACTACTGAACCGGTGAGGCCCAGGCCTCCCGCAGACCAACGTGGTGGCTGCTTTCCAGAAGGAGAAAGATGTTCAGGGATCCATCACCTCGGTCTGATTGAAAGAGCAGCCTCCCAAAACCACAGCAGGAGGGATGGAAAGGGGACACCTTCCGGGGCAGGGGTGCAAGAGCCTTGTATGAGGCGGCTTTTACCAACAGGTGAGGCCCCCGCACTGGCAAGACGCCCCTTCCTTCCTGGAGCCGCCGCCCCCCC